CTGCCGGTTCCTGCAGTATCCGGTGACCGGAACGATCGACCTGGGTTTATTTGACTATTCTTCTTTTTGTCAATTCTTTACATTGAAAAGAAAAGCCGTTCTTGTAGGACATTTTTTTCTCGTTGACGCCGTGATGATTCATATTAAAGTAGTTCCCGACTACACGAGTAAAGCAAGGAAGAAAAAAAACTCACCGATTTATCAGACACACGATAAAAGTACATCGATTAACGATTGTGTAAACTGCATGCACAAACTATTTTCTGTAAATGTCCTGCCCTTGAGTCATTATTTTCCAATGAATCATTCTTTCAACCATCATTCATATATAAAGACGTTGTCTTCTTGTATGATCATTAGTTTTCACATTACGCTCAACAATTACAACTAGACGAACAAAGAATGATCTCGAAAATGACTATTTCCTTGTTTTCAATGTTCATTATGATCAGTTTTCATCATGCCGTTGCTAGCATTAATTTATTTCGGTAAGTTGTTATGTCAATGAAAGGTATGTACGAATTTGTTCATTTGGAACATTTGAGAATTCCGATTGATCGAGTTCGTCCTCATTCATCTACAACAACAAATTGTACGGCATCGGTAATAAACAGCACGATCAAGACATGTGATGTATCTTCGCGTGCTTTCGGCAAAATTTCTGTAGCACAATCTTCTGCCTTGGAAAATCTTGTCAATGAAGCTGATGTAAGTACGCAAAATGCAATATATCATTTTCTGGAGATAAATCTCTGATTCAAGTTGTATTTGATTGTAGTTCAGTGTTGATAGTACAAAGTTGATCCATAGTTTATTGGCTGTAGATTTCTAAATTTCATTTTTTAACAGACATATTTCATTGGAATAATCTCAATCGGTACACCTGGTCAAACGTTCCTTATCGACTTCGATACGGGCTCATCTGATTTATGGGTACCATCAAGCAGTTGCACATCGGATTGTGGTATGTTATCAGTATGTATTCTAATCAAAAGATTCTAGTAGTCTTTCGAATTTTAGCTGGTTTTAATAAGTACTTCTCTGCAAAATCAACAACGTATATTCCCAATGGAAAACCATTTTCAATTACATATGGTGATAATTCTTCGGTCCAAGGCTTTTTAAGCATGGACACTGTCACGGTGAGTTAAGGACAACCGTTCAGATAGAAGTTTAACATCCTTAATTACGCCTTCAAGACTAAGATTAATCATATGTTGGAAGCCGATCACAGATGAGTAATAGTGGAATTTACATGTTGCTGGCTCGCGTTCAATGCTGATGCAAAAGAAAAAGAGTCGTTTTTATGACATTCTTTTGTGTTCCTTTTCCTATTGGATAATTAGACTTCTCTATATTACTAATGTTAAAAGCAAAATATTCATTCAGTCAATGATATATGTGATTTGCTAAATCATCATTTTATTTAGATCAGTGGAATTGCAGTGAAAAATCAAATATTTGCTCAATGCACATCTCTTAATGGTATGACTGGTGATGTCAATGATGGTATATTGGGTCTTGCATATCCACGTTTAACAAGAGGTGGCGAGAAGCCAGTTTTTTATAATATGTGGTCGCAAGGTCTTATATCAGAAGCTATCTTTTCCTTTTATTTGAATCCGCAAATATTTCATTAGCAAATGTAAACATTTCGCATGTCGCTCTTTCTCTTTAGTGATCCCAACGCAATATCCGGTGGTGAACTCATATTTGGTGGTGTAGACTCAAGTAAATATACGGGTTCTATTACTTATGCTCCGATAGTACTAGAAGGATATTGGGAGTTTCAAATGACTAGGTAAATATTTTAATCAGTGAGATTTTCCTTTTCTCATTCATTATCTAATTTGAATAGTGTAACTGTTGGATCCACTATTGTAAGCGGATCAGCAAATGCCATTGCTGACACCGGTACAACATTAATCATTGGACCTGTAACAGAAGTTAGAGCACTGAACCGTGCCTTGGGTGGTACTCTAGATTTATCTAGTGGATTGGTATGACCTTTTTTCACTAGTTATTCTGAAGAATATCAGTTGAATGATTGTATTCTTTTAGTACACAGTCAGTTGCACAACGCGTCCACTGTCATCATTTCCCAATGTTATCTTCACCATTGGTGGCACAACATTTACATTAACACCACTACAATATCTACTAATCTATCAGGATGGATCGGATCGTTACACATGTTACAGCGTCTTCGCTTCTGACAATCTCCAAGATGCCAATAAAAATAAAATTTGGATTTTGGGCGATTATTTTCTCTATCGCTACTATTCAATCTTTGACATTGTAAACAATCGAATAGGACTTGCCACTTCAGTCTCGTATGATTGGACACAGCCTGTCGATTCATCTTTATTTCTGGGAACAGCTACAACAAACACAGCAACGACATCGACCATGGCGACAAGAACAATAGCCACAACGATCTCAACAACTACGGCGAAGACAGCAACAATAACCACGATGACCACAATATCAAAAAAAACTACAAGAAAAACAACGACAAGAACTCACTACCACCATCAAAGGTAACCACACTATCATTGATGATGAAAACATCAACTACAGTTAAAACGAAAACAATAACAACTGCAACTAAATCAATTAATGGCAAATCTGAGACAGACAGTGGTACTGCTTGTGAACTACTGCTTTACCTTTATCTTTTTCATCTTATTAATGATAATATTCATTCATAATACATCTACATATTTTGTAAAAAATAAAATCCACATTGATAAATATTGAGCAAAAGATGAAGGGTGTGGGTGTGTTGGTGTGGGTGTGGGGTGTGGGCAGTTCCATCATTCACATCCACAACCACCCTGTTAGACAAGGGTGTGGGTGTGGGTGTGCGTGTGGGTGGGGTGTGGGGTGTGGGTGTG